CCAATATCTAAATTTTCATCATCACAATGGTGCCAATGATCTTCGTGTGCTCACGCGTTGTCTCAATCGGGCATTTTCCCTTATTATATTTTGTCTTTCTTCGCTTAAGTTCTGTGAATACACTTGTTGCTGGCTTGCATGTCTTGTGCGGCGGCGGATGTTCCCACGTCATCCTTTAGGCATTTTGGACTATGGACAGAGTGGTGAAATTAACCTCAATTGCAAGATCCACATAATTTACACAGTTCAACTTACCACCTTAACGACAAGTGCCTGCTGTTGAAATTGAATAAAAATTGCACAATACGCGTGATTGATTTGATGGTTTCCAATTAAAATGTTAGGAAACGAATAACTTATTTTTTTTTTTACTTTTTTCACAATTTCACAGTGAACACAATACCGGTTTGTAACATGAAATTACCTGAGAACAATGAGTAGTTGTCAAACAATGTATCACGCATGCTATGTAAAAGAGATGACGCTATATGTAAAAAAAGATTTTTCCGCCTTTCTGTTGAAATTTTTCATGAATTTTCTTTGCTACAAACCTCAAGGAGCCCGAGACCTTTCCAACGAATGCAAATCCGTGGAAATCGGTTCGTGCGTTCTGGAGTTATAACTTCAGGAAGGAAAACCCGACCTATTTTTATACCCGTTACTCGTAGAGTAAAAGGGTATACTAGATTCGTCGGAAAGTATCTAACAGGCAGAAGGAAGCGTTTCCGACCCCATAAAGTATATATATTCTTGATCAGGATCACTAGCCGGGTCGATCTAGCCATGTCCGTCTGTCCGTCTGCCTGTCCGGATGAACGCTGAGATATCGGAAACTATGGGAGCTGGGCTATTGAGATTTGGCGTGCAGATTCCTGAGCTTCTTACGCAGCGCAAGTTTGTTTCAGTAGAGTGCCACGCCCACTCTAACGCCCACAAACCGCCCAAAACTGTAACTCCTACAGTTTAGATGCTAGAATAAAAATTTGAACTGAAATGTAATGTTCTCATCAATACCTATCGATTGCCCCAAAAAAAAGTTTACCACGACCACCCAAACGCCCATAAGTCGCCCACAAACTTCAAAAAATCGTAATTATGAACGTGGAAACCTCGGAAACTATCAAGGATAGAGAATTGGGATTTCAGATTTAGATTCCGTAGCCTTATACGCAGCGCAAGTTTGTTACGCGAATATGCTACGCCCACTCTGACGCCCACAAACCGCATAAACCTGTGACGCCCACAATTTTAATGCAAGATAAAAAATGTTAACTGAAATGTATTGGTCTCGCCAATACCTATCGATTGATCAAAAAAAAGTTTGCCACGCCCACTCTAACGCCCATAACGCTTAAATCTGTCTACCGCCGGTAGGTGGCGCATTTTAATCCCGCTTTGCTGCTGGAAAACTTTTTTTTTTGAGTCAATCGATAGGTATTGATAAGAACAATACATTTGATTTAAAATTTGTATTCTAGCATCAAAACTGTAGGAGCCACCGTTTTGGGCGGTTTGTGGGCATTAGAGTGGGCGTGGCACTCTGCCGAAACAAACTTGCGCTGCGTAAGAAGCTCAGGAATCTTCACGCCAAATCTCAATAGCCTAGCTCTTATAGTTTCCGAGATCTCAGCGTTCATCCGGACATACGGACATGGCTAGATCGACTCGGCTAGTGATCCTGATCAAGAAAATATATACTTTATGGGGTCGGAAACGCTTCCTTCTGCCTGTTACATACTTTCCGACGAATCTAGTATATCCTTTTACTCTACGAGTAACGGGTATAAGAACAGCACTAAAACAATTTTTTTTTTAATTTTTTGTTATTTTTTGTGGGTTTAATAAGTTTGTTACGCTAAACAAGAAATAAAAATATAAATTTGTTACATCTTTATTAAAAAAAACATGTATTCATTCGTAGGGTACCTCGCAACGAATACTTTTGTGACTCACTGTAAGTTGCTTTAAACTTGTAAACATCTCAACGAAAATTGCGCACTAACAATTACAATTTTGGACCGAGAAGAGCTGTGCGAGCTCACTGTCAATCACTGTTTATAGGTAAACGTCCATAACTGAGTGGAATGATTCTTTTTTTCTGAAGAATTTGTGGTTAATTCAATATCATTTCACTTTAGTTCACTTTGCGCCAAAAAGGTATTCTCACAAAGAAATCACGGATAATTTATATCTGACCGTTTAGTCGTATATGCCTAAGCTGCCTTTATAATGTTACCAATTCTTAACCAAGAATAAGACAATGCGTCTTTTTGGAAATTTTATTTTTTCAGAATGCTTAGACCGCTAGAGCTTTTAATTTCTTCAGAATTTTAAAACTGCGTTTTTTAGGCATTTAACGGCACTGTTCCCTCTAAGATCATATATGAATGTATAAAGACAAATTAATTCAGACCACTGCTTCTTCGCGAACCTGAAGACAAATGGAGAAAAACACCATCTCACTGGAAAAAAAATTAAAATCGTTACCCTGACAACGAAGTCAGACCGAGACGAAAATAAATCGTATTAACATTGTAATAATTGTTTATATGTTTATATTCTGTTATCAAAAAAACAGAAAGTATACAGAACTTCTACAATAATGTGTACAACAAGCTGAAATCGCAGATGACAACGTCCCGAACGACCGTTACACAGCAGCAGCAAAGAGGTCTCCCTTTATATAAATTTGGGCAAAAACTCTATTATTAGAGGAACGTGCACTAAATTCTTGGGATGCAATGAATCCATATATATTGGCGTACAATGATGATGCATTCCGCCCAAAACTCCTATCTCAAATTATGGTAAAACTACATGAGGATATGGTCTCTTAAAATAGACTACTCTTAAATGCCTGAGTTGACTATTGTGAGCCATCATGGATAAATTACAAGATCCGAGGAAACCGATCTAATAAAGCATACATAGCCGTATTTGAATGCTTTGCCACGGAAGCAGTATACATAAATGAAAGACGTTGGAGACCTAAGAACTGCAGCAGTCGTTTCATAGAAGCCAGCAACCAACTGAAGGCCATCTACTCACAGGAAGCAAATAACTATACGGTACAGCAATGCAATACCAAAGACGTTCAGTTAAATTTCATTCGGTCATGATCACTTTACTTATGTGGATTATTGGAAGCCGCAGTAAAGTCAGCAAAGACTTTAACATTTCACAAGGAAGAACGCTATAGTCGAGTACCTCGACTATCAGATACCCGTTACTCAGTTAATGGGACCAAAGGGAAATGGAGATATGCAAGCAGCAAAGCGAGATTGAAATGTGCCACCTACCCCCGATCTCAACATATGGTTAGGTGGGCGGTGGTGGTAGACAGGTTTAGGCGTTATGGGCTTTAGAGTGGGCGTGGCAAACTTTTTTTGGGGTCAATCGATAGGCATTGACGGGACTAATACATTTCAGTTACCATTTTTTTCTAGCATGAAAATGGTGGGCGCCACAGACCTAGGCGGTTTGTGGGCGTTGCAAACTTTTTTGGGGTCAATCGATAGGTATTGACGAGAGTAATATATTTCAGTTAAAATTTTTTCTAGCACGAAAAATGTGGGCGTTACAGATTTAGGCGGCTTGTGGGCGTTAGAGTGGGCGTGGAATATTCGCGTAACAAACTTGCACTGCGTACAAGGCTACGGAATCTAAATCTGAAATCCCAATTCTCTATCTTTGATAGTTTCCGAGATATCCGCGTTCATGTTTACGATTTTCTGAAGTTTGTGGGCCTTAAAGTGGGCGTTGCAAACTTTTTTTGGATCAATCGATAGGTATTGACCAGAGTAATACATTACAGTTAACATTTTATTTCTAGCACGAAAAATGTGGGCGCCACAGAATTAGGCGATTTGTGGGCGTTAGAGTGGGCGTGGCATATTCGCGTAACAAACTTGCGCTGCGTACAATCGGAAATCCCAATTCTATATCTTTGATAGTTTCCGAGATATCCGCGTTCATACTTACGATTTTTTGAAGTTTGGGGGCCTGGCAAACTTTTTTGGGTCAATCGATAGGTGTTGACGGGACTAATTCATCACAGTTAAAATTTTTTTTCTGGCATGAAAATTGTGGGTGCCACAGTTTTGGGCAGTTTGTGGGCGTTACAGTGGGCGTAGCAAACTTAATAGATAGGTATTGACGAGACTAAAACATTTCTAGGATGAAAATTGTGGGCGCCACCGATTTGGGGGGTTTGTTGGCGTTAGAGTGGGCGTGGCACTCTGCAGAAACAAACTTGCGCTGCGCAAGAAGCTCAGGAATCTACGTACCAAGTCCCAACCTTCTAGCATTGTAGTTTCCGAGATCTCAGCGATCATCCGGACGGACAGACGGACATGTCTAGATCGACTCGGCTAGTGATCCTGATCACGAATATATATACTTAATGGGGTCGGAAACGCTTCCTTCTACCTGTTACATACTTTCCGACGAATCTAGTATACCCTTTTACTCTACGTGAAACGAGTATAAACATCAAAATTAAAATTTAATTCAAGGGGTAAGTTATTAAGTATACCCGTTACTTGTAGAATTTCCAATATATATTCCTGATCAAGACCACTAGCCGAGTCGACCTAGCATGTCCGTTTGCCTGTCCGTCCGTCTGATATCTCGGAAACTATTAGAGCTAATATGTTGGGACTAGGCATGCAGATTCTAGAGATTATTACGCAGCATTACAAACCGCCCAAACGGGTGGCTCCTACAGTTTAAGTGGAAAACAAACTTTAACAGAGATGTATTTTTTTGTCAATACCCATCGATTGTCCCACAAAAATGTTGTCACGCCCACTCTAACACCCACAAACCACTCACAAACTTAAAAAAATCGTCCATATGAACGCTGATATCTCGGAAACTGTGAAAGATAAAAGGTTGGTACCCAAGACTTAAATTGCTTAGCAACACGCCCAAAGCGATAACAACTCTAAATTGCTCTAGCGCCCACATTTTGTAGTAAAATTTTGTCTTTCTGTTTCCAGTATTCCTTACTGCAAACTGTGGTCGAGGCCTGCCAAAAGAAGAAGAACTGCAAGTTTCACGGATCCCTGCAGTTCTACGGTCAGGGCGCCAGCGGTGTGGGCGATTCATCTGGAACAAGCAGTTATTACAGTAGCACGGCCAGCTCCAATGCAATAAACAGCGACCCGTGTCCCAAGCGCAGGAAAATTGTCGAAGTCGCCTACAAATGTCGCCCATGTAAGTCAATTTATCTTTAAAATTATATATCAAGATATCAATAATAGCATTAGCTTTAATGGAAAATTAAATTGTAGCATAGAGGAGGGTGTAGAGGAAAGAATGTACATATGTCTGGCTGTTTGACTTTGTGCACTTTGGCGAACTTTCCTAAAAATTGGGCCTCTACCTCAAAGTTTATTAATCCTGTAATTTTGTTTGTAATTATCTTCATTTTTAAATATTAATTGTTAAAATTTTATGTCAAAAAGGTTTCCAATATTTTTTTCAAAAGTTACAATAGTAATTCTCATTTTGATGAAAAGTAATAGTAAGAACAAAAACTCATTTACATTTTGACAAAATACTAAAAAGTGTGGGCGCTGGACGCGTTTTAGAGTTGTAGTCGCTTGTGGGCGTGTTAGTGGGCGTGGTACCCTTCTGAAACAGACTAGCGCTGCGCGCAAGAATCTGCATGCCAAGTTCCAACATTCTAGCTCTTATAGTTTCCGAGATCTTTATTTAGACAGACGGGCACGGCTAGATCCACTCGGCTAGTGATCCTGATCAAGAATATATTTACTCTATGGGGTCGGTAACCCGTCCTTCTACCTGTTACATACTTAACGACGAATCTAGTATACCCTTTTACTTTACGATAACCCGGCAGAGAAAGTTTGTCTCAGCAAGGAGCCAAGCCCACTCTAAATCTAAATTTTGTTTTTTTGTATTATCAATTATTATCTAGTCGAGAGCGTCGACTATGGCGTCTTCTCTTGTTTTATTTAAAAATTATGGTAAAAATGTTGGTATTTCATGTGAACAATAAGTAGGCATCGGTTAAAATAAAAACATATATAAACTAATCTCATTTTACTCTCTTATTTTAAGATTTAGTTATTTATTTTCTTATGATTATCTGATTGTATTGTAATGTTCAGTCGTTGTGCGCTTCAAAACACCCTTTTTATATCATTTCTTTTAAATCAAGAAAATTCAAAGCAAGCCACTGTGCTATTCTTATTCTTATTAAACTGCCGTTTAAACGCTCAAAGCTCCATCAAGAAAATTGATCATTTAGCTGGCTATTTGTAAACTCCAATGTTGATGTTATTTTGATTCCAATGATTTCTGACCACGAATGGCATACTGGTGGAGCGGAAATTTTGCAAAAAAAGTCTGCAGTGAAAACTAGAATGTTTTATTGAGATTGAGAGTAGAAGAGTTAAAAATCTATTAATTAGCTGTGTATACTACTGAACATAGACTACTTAAAATACAGCCAACTCTTACTTGACTTGACACGATAATGATAGCGGGTGCAGGACAATTAGCATAATCCATAAATTAACCACGTATCCTATATTCTCAAATATATATATATATATATATATTATGCATGCGGTGTTGTATACGCTAAAAAGGTCACTCACCCAAAATACCGAAGATTGTTATCTTACAAGTACATGGCTGATCGTGTTAGGGAAAGTAATTAAGAATTCAAAACAACCCCAAGAGTATAAATCTCAAACTTTAATGATTTTCAAATGTGGGAATATTTTCAAACGCGCCTTCTGTTTCCGTCCCAGAATCTTTTACCGTTAAGTTGTCAAAGATTCTCTTCTTTCTATAAATGTCAAATAAGGTCAAATAAGCTCGCCATCTGAGGCGTTAGTTTTCTGTTCTTAATAAATGTATGCGAAAACAAAAATTTTTTATTTTAATGCTTAGGCGGTGCGCGAAAATACGACATATTTTACAGTAATACTACGATAAAGACAAAAATGTATCTCAAGCCGCTAATTAAGTTTGTGCAGTTTATGGACCCGATACAGTTTCCATTTCCACCGCACAACGATGGTTTCAACGTTTTCGTTCTGGTGTAGAGGTGGTAGAAGATGCGCCACGCTCCGGAAGGCCTGTCGTCGTAGTAGCAGCTGTAGCATCGGTCAAGAGCTGGGCACGGGTCTCCAAATTGTTATAAACCATTTGAAGAAGCTTGGAGTCACTAAGAAGCTCGATGTATGGGTGCCACACGAATTGACGCAAAAAAACATCTTTGACCGTATCGATGCATGCGAATCGCATCTGATTCGCAACAAAATCCACCCGTTTTTGAAGCGTGTGGTGACTGGCGATAAAAAGTGGGTCACTTACAACAGCGTAAGGCGCAAACGGTCGTGGCCGAATTGTCCTCCATCAGGACAACGCCAGGCCACACTCACAGAAATTTTACTGTAAAATCGCCCTAAAAACAAGGAAAATCGCCTTAAAACGGGGGTCAATAACGACTACACTTAGGGAGATATTTCCTAGGGCGATTTTTTCTTAAATCTAGGGCGATTTTTCTGTTTTTAAAGGTCAATACCATTGTTTGTGCCTAACCGAAGTAGACACTTCCGGGTCACACCGCGGGACAAGGGGGTAATGAGCACTTGTCGCTGGCACGGGGACGCTTTGCTGTCAGGACGATCGCGTCGCGGCAATGGTAACGAAGGTTACTGCGATGCCGGACCACAGGCGATGCGGAACTGCGCTGAGGAGATAGTGTATTACGAGCCCTATTCCCAGAGGTAGGAAGTAGAACCGCGGAGTTATGAGATGTGTTGATAACTGATTTATTCTTCATTTGATACCTGCTTATATACTACTTGGAACACGGAAGCTTAGTGTAATGATTAGTGAAATAAGCTATAATCTAAAGTAGGTCAGGGAGCTATGATTATGGTGCAGTTGGCTCGGCTAAAACTGCAACATGTGCTGACTGCACATGAGTCGGTGAGAAGGTGAGTTAGTGAGACATATAATATGCTGATAAGCACTTCTCATCTGCAGTGAGTGCTACTGAGCGCCTGGTACTGTTCCCAACTTGGTTTCTGCTTGATTTGTTGGGTGTGGTCATGTTGAGTACCTTTGGGTACGAACAACCATTAACATATGAAAAAAATGTTAAACATCAACGGCGGGATTTCTTGAAATTATGGTGACTTTCTTATTTTAATGGTAAATTGCCCTAAATTTCTCTTGAATGTATGGTGTTTTTCTTGTTTTAAGCCTAGTACTCACACCGACGAAAACCGCGAGCTAACCATAGGAAAGAGCGATAGGCAAGTACGCGGCTAACGCTTTTCGTCGGGCCTGTCTTTCAGCGCGGTACTCAGATGAGCTAAGGAAATACCAGAAAAATTCCGGCTCCCACTTCCTCAAGGCCCATGTTGGCATATTGCGAATCGGAGCTGGACTGCAAAAGGCACGGAAAAAATGGCGAAGCATCCGTGACAAGAGAGGAAAGCCTTAATCTACTAATTAACATAAATAAAATCATCCTTTAAACATTCCATTAATTTTTATTTAATTTTGCACCAGCAGATTCGTGTTTTTAAAGTCCTTCAATTTTTCGTTTGTTAATAAAACAAACCCAGCTGCTTGACAGTAAGACCATGCTACTTGCATTGCGGGTGAACTTTGAATACTGCGGTCACACTACAAAGAATAAGATTTTTCGACTGGTGAAACTCTTAGCCGATCTGAGTACTAGGCTTTAAAGATTAAAGCAAATTTTTATAAAAAAATCGTGCTTGGACATATTGCTGGATCTTGGCAAACAACATCTGCGATACTTTTCCCAAGATTTGTTCGAGGATTATTTGACTTAGTGTCCTTTTTTATTTGAGAGGGTTAGGTTATTATTCGCTCATCGCATGTTGGTAAACTGCTTATTAGAATCATAAGAGCTGAAAGTAGTTATGAACAAGAAAGGAAGTTAACTTCGGCAAGCCGAAGTTTGCATACCTTTGCAGTTATAAGAAATAATCAATGTTGAACCATGTTGAATTTTTAAGGATTATTGCTAGCTTCAGTGATATTTTTAATGCTGAAGAGGTAAAATGTTCTATATCCCAAAGTAAAAAAAAATACGATCAAAATAAACAAAGCAAAATTTGTATAAAAAAAAAATTATTTCATTATTTCTCTGACCGTTTCTTTGACAGCTATATGTTAGAGTCTTCTGATTGTTATTAAATTTAAATCGAAATTCATAAAAATACAAAAAATTATATTCCCAATAGGCGTGTTCGCGTAAAAAACTTGCGCTGCGTACAAGGCTACGCTAAGTCAGAGATTCCAATTCTCTATCTTTGATAGTTTCCGAGATATCCGCGTTCATATTTACGATTTTGTGAACTTTGTGGGCGGTTTGTGGGCGTTAGAGTAGGCGTGGCAACCTGCTGAATCAAACTTGCGCTGCGCAGGAATCTCAGGAATCTGCATGCCTAATCCTAGTATTGTAGCTTTTATAGTTTCCGAGATCTCAGCGTTCATACGGACAGACGGACATGGCTAGATCGACTCGGCTAGTGATCTTGATCAAGAATATATATACTTTATGGGGTCGGAAACGCTTCCATCTGCCTGTTACATACTTTCCGACTAATCTAGCAGATTAGAGATTTGGCGTGAAGATTCCTAAGCTTCTTACGCAGCGCAAGTTTGTTTCAGCAGAGTGCCACGCCCACTCTAACGCCCACAAACCGCCCAAAACTGTGGCTCCTACAGATTTGATGCTAGAATACAAATTTTAACTGAAATGTATTGTTCTTATCAATACCTATCGATTGACTCAAAAAAAGTTTGCCACGCCCACTCTAACGCCCATAACGCTTAAATCTGTCTACCGCCGGTAGGTGGCGCATTTTAATCCCGCTTTGCTGCTTGCATATCTCCATTTCCCTTTGGTCCCTATAGCTGAGTAACGGGTATCTGACAGTCGAGGTATTCGACTATAGCGTTCTTCCTTGTTTACTCATCGAAACGAGTCAGATTTCATTTGTCGTTCCTTTAGGTTAGCTCGCGAGTTGATATCAAACATGGCAAGGATTTCAAGTAAAAATTGGCTATATTTTAAGGGCCGATTGAAATTTTCTATTCATGTCTTCTAGTTTATTATAGGTAGAGCCATAAAGACTAAAAATGCAGAACAAATTTTTTTTTAATTATTGCGACAATCGGGATATAATATA